CCCACTACTATATTTCTCCCCGCTGGTACATCCGATACGCCAGCTCTGGATCCGTGTCCCACGCATCCGACTCCGACCCCTCACACCCGACGACACCCACCCATCGCGCGAGCGATGCGATTTGATGATCATTTCGACTGATGCATTCACTGCTGCAGGCGGCGGGGCGGCACGATTTATGTGATTTGCTTGCTGTCATGCCTGCTGTTCATGCCTTTTGTGCCGTCATGGACCCACTGGACATCATGTTGATGCCTCCTGTTCCATGCAAACGCGAAGGGCCTCGCAGTCACGTCAGCAGGCGGATTGAATGAGTGAGTGAATGGATGGTTTTTCGTCGTTTCAGAGTGGTTTTGAGCGGGAAAACGGCTCTGGTGAGTCATTCACGGCGAGAAACCCCGCAGAAAACAAGGAGAAGATAAACCAATCACTCGCTTGCTCGTATAAACCAACCAAAAGTCTAAGCAATCAGCCCTGTGCTGACTGCATTCATGTGCTACGTGAAGGCATCTTCATGCGTCGTTCAAATGAGTTCGATCACATAGCACAAAAGTCCGACAGTCCGTTTGCCTGGCACTCCGTAAGTTCGTTCGCACCGAGCGCTAGCAAGCGAAATGGGCAAATGTTGGGGTGGGCGGACAACACACATGACAAGCTGTAGGAGTTATAAGTTTGCTTGCCAAGAACATGTGAACGGATTTCATAAGATCTCATAAATCTCGTGTAAACGAGTGGCGGAAGTTCGCTGAGCATGTTAGCACTGGTGTCCTTAGCGATTTGCAAGCTGTGTCCTCTTAACGTGCATCCCCTATCGAAGCGGTCTGAGTAGTGAGAGACGGGCAGCCACGGTCTAGATAGTAGAGCGTAGATATGTGTAGATAGATGTGAGGGCGACTGATAAAATACGGTCCTCAGATATCACTGAGTTCTTTGCCGTACTGATTCCTGCACAGAACACGACGCACCAGATGTGACCAAGCTTGTGAATGTGCTGTTCCCCTAAACTCTAAAGCACACCTTAGTTGAGCATTGAGCTCCTCTTCCTTGCCTTTGAAGAGCTCTGCCACGCGGCCTGCCTCGGTGACCTTCTGAGGGTTGGTCTCCTGAACACATTGGATTATATCGGACTGGCTCAGCATCATGTAGGGTGATACCTTGTAGAAAGCGACCAAGAGGTCTTCCAGCGTCTCGCCAAAAATGTCGACACCTGCAGTAAGGATGGGGTTGGTTCTTTCGTGTTCTCTCTTGGTCTCATCTCCATACCATACGACTTCCTGAATGTGCAACACCAAGAGAGGCTTCGCGTCCAACCTTGTACATGTGTGAAGTGTGCGTGCGTACCTGAGTGCCCTGTTGAGTGCCTTTTCGTCCGATTGATACTGCTTGGCGATCCGCGGCGCATCAGTAGCCTTGGTGGGGTTATGCTCGCTGTAGAAATTTGTCAGAACACTTAAGAGGTCTTTGCCGTCCAAATCAACTTGATACTTTTCCCTGCGGGCATGTGATCAAGGGGCTCAGAAAGGGAAGGCATGATCGTGCCCTGGACTGCCCCACCTCAGCAACGAATTGAGCTTGGCCTCCTTCCCCGCCCAGAAGCGACTGAAGACATCTGAGTCCACATATGCACAAAGAATCGGAGAACACACAAACACAGTTTGGAGAAGTCGTCCAGACACTCTCAAACGTACCGAGTGTTTCAATCTTGGCAGGGTTGTGCTCCGCGTAGAAGACCTGGCAAGAAACAGAGGTCAGCTGCAAACCAGCGAGCACCGTAATACTATTAAGCTTACCTGCAGGCGCTGGCGTAGATCAGACACCTGGGCATCGCTCGCTGATGCCTGGAACCCCGCCGCGTACGCAGACGTGGCGACGGTCGATGACGTGACGCCGTTGGTTGTGGGTGCGCTGGCTGCGGTTGCTGCTGCAGACGTGCCTGTGCCCTGGACACACACCGCCACACCGTTGATGCTCCCATCCTCTATCAGCAAGCTCCCCTCTCCGACGGCATCGATGTACACATCCAATGCCTCATTCAGAGCTGGTCGAATCATTCAGCCTGGAGCTTCCAAGAAAGCGCTTTCACGGATCACTTTCTCTAGTCGATGGATGGAACCCCCGCGAACGCGGGTCGACGAACGGGTACGAGGGGGTAGGGGCCCCCTCGTAACGGAAGGCGATCGGAGAGGGACACCTTACAAAACTGCCGCGAGCTAAATATACACTAATGTAGCGATCGCGATTGGCCAGTGGTTGCTTCTTAGGGTATCCGTCAAAAGGCAGTAGGACAGTGTGAGGCGATTTAGCAGCCATTCCTGAAGATCTGGGGAAGCCGAATGAAGAGGTGCTTGCTCGTGAACGACAATGCTGGCCGAGAAACCAAAAATCGGCTGCACTTGTGTGTGATCTGAAGAGAGGGCACGGACAGCGAGGGGAGGTGGTGAATCGGACGACGCAATGTCGCCCCCTCCCCCTTGAATGGGGGAGGGGGCTGCAAAAGGTCAGTATCCATGAGTCAGGGGTCACAGGCAGAAGAGAGCACGTCGACCACAGACCGATTGAAGGCGATGATGGCCGTCACGCAGCATTCTGGCACGCAGATCTACTCGTCTGAGCACTCCTGTGTCTGCCTGGTAGGTGTGTTGATGTTTCGTTTGGCCGCATTGCCGCTTTCTCCCTATTGCACGGTGAGCGGATGGCTGTCATGGAGGATTCTGGCACGCAGATCTACTCGTCTGAGCGATCCTGTGTTTGCCTGGTGTTGATGCTTCGTTTGGCCGCGTTGCCGCCATCTCTTCTATTGCACGTGAGCCGATTATACACATATGCTCCCACATGTGTGTTCCGCTATGCGGGTCTCCCCGTATTCATGTGTGTGCGCCATTGATTCGTGCATCCATAGCATCTGAGCACACAGCTTTTGTCGTGCCCATGCTTGTGTGTGTCCTTGCGTGTTTTATTGTTAGTTGATACGTCGACGGATGGGAATGCAGTGAGTGTATATACAGCGTACAGGGCATGTTGAGCGGGTCAGCTAAATATGGGTCAGAAGGATAGATGTGCGAGAGATGTCTGACTACTGCTAAAGGTCTGTTGGAGCCGATCCGCCGCTCCTCGCCTTTGCTTGTGGCGCACCAGTAGCGGTGGGATACCGGTGGTGTAGCATTCATGTTGTGGTCCCTCCCTCTATCCCAGTCTGTCTCCCTTCGTGCTTCTCTTCACGCTTCCCTTCCAATCGCCTTTTCCTACCTGCCCCGCCCTGTGCCTGCCTTTCTTTATTTTGCTGTCGCGCACATCCCAAGTGGCAGGTCTTTTTTGCAGACCTGTGCTTACGATACATGATGGGGGGGAGGGGGAAGATTGAGACAAACAGTAAGTTACCGTGTGTGAAAAAACCCTCAAAAGCAGAGAAACCCATGCGTTTCTCCTCGATGTATAGTAATCAGTAGGGGGGAGGAGGCTAGATAGAGGATAGATAGAGGGTCTTATCCGCGAGATACTCATACGCTTCGATGGACCGGTGGACGGCGTGTCTGAGTGTGTTGTCCGCACCTGACTCACAACATGACCCCACCAACACTCACTCTGCACCCTACCGGCTCTCGGGCTTCCCTGTGTGAGACCACCGACGGGCCGCCAATGGCAGCCTCCACCCAAGCCCGTGTGAAGGGGGCCGGTTTAATGTGATTCACGCTATAGAGATAGCGTTTACTCGATGCGCTGAGACACCACACCTGATGGGAGACACTCACCGATTCAATCAACAGGCACACCAACAGGAAGACAGGAACGAGATCTCACAACGTCACAAAGAGTTGACACGCAGCACTGAGTCACACTTGCTGGCAACGCAAGACTCTGACACGACTGACACACACACCTGCGACAGCCAATGAATCACGACAACAAAGCCCTGTGTGTTTGACCTTCGACACGTCTCGACGCCTTGGGACTTGGCTGCTTTGGCTTCCCTCGAGTGGGCAACTGACTGTCGTCAGACACGCCCTGTGCCTTAGGCTCAATGGGATGGCTCCTCTCTCCGGGCAGGGAATCCTTGGTGTGTGCCTGAGGTGAGGAGAGGTGATGAGACACGAACCTCACCAGTCACGGTCTGATGTTGATTGACTTCCCTTGGAGGTGGTGGCTTGTGAGTGATGAGATTGGAAGGGCACAGACGGCCAAAAGGCTGGGAGTGGTCAGAAGCACTGAAAATACGACAAGTAGGGAAAATAAGGCAAAAGTTTGGAAAATGATGATTTTGGTCATCCGAAATGGAGGGATGTCGAGCCGTTAGACACTTCAGGGCGAAAGTTGTTTTCTACAGGGAGAAACATATTTCCTTCAGGGAGAAAACTATTTTCTTCTGGGAGGAATTCACTTTCTCCAGGGAGAAAATCAATTTCTCCATGCCGAAACGGGCGGAATATTCCGTTTTTCGACATCCCTAACTCTGATTCTCGACTGCACCTCCGCCTTCTTTCGTTTGTTTTCGGGAAATGTGACACCGACAGCTGTCGTCCCCCTTGCCTAGCTACGCCGCCCTCGGCGAGTCGCTGCTCTAGACGCTGCAGCCCTCCGTGATGGTAAGAGGATGCATGCAGGAGAACGGGGGTGGTCCTCTGCATGAAACGATCGGTGGTTGATATGGCCGTACTAGGGAGGCTACAGAGAGCCCTCAGAAGCCCTAGGGCCATGGCAAGTCCAGAGTGAGTGGATAGACAGACAGCCACTCACCATCAGTGTCAAAGTTCAGAAAGTCAGAGATAGAAGTGCTACAGGGTGGCATGAAATGACACATGGAAAGTGAACACAAGGAAGAAACATGACGTAGAAGGACATTTCGCCTCGTTGCTGATGATATGCCGCTGCGCTGATGAAGGGAGGGCGATGCCAGCATCTCTCCTATGTTCCAGAATTGAAGCAGCATCGGGTAGCCGTTGACGTGAAACCTAATATGAAGGTAGTTGCCTTCAAGTAGGGGTAGTTTCCCCCCAAATGGCAAGTGAGTTAGGGAAGGAACAAAACACGAAGAAGATCGAGTCAGAATCGTGAGAATCATCCTCGTGTTGAACGATTGTGACTGAACTGGTGTTGGACCGTTGCATCTTTGATTCAATGTTGCTTGGTGAAGCTATTTCATGCTCCAGTGTGGCCAGTCAGGCCCTCTGGAGGTCTGTGTAGTGTCCGACGTTCAAACTCAAAGCAGTCACACGCTACCACTAGACACCGCTCCATCAGGGAGACCGCCCCGGAGCAGAAGGCAAGAGACCATCACTAAGCAGTGTTTCCATTGGTTCAGGCAGGGGTAGTCGCAGGCAGCTGCCCCTCTCGGGCGCCCTTACTTCTGGGTTTGTTTCGTCTGTTTGATCCTGGGAGCCATGCGTCGGTACCAGCCATTTCTTTCTTTGTCTTTGCCACACAGTCATCCTGCCCGCTCCTGTAGAGGTTCCCTCCTGTTCGTAGCTCAACGCCGCCGTCCACTTCCCGTCCGATACGCCGGGCAACCAATCCATCCTACACTCGCCGAGCCCTCCAATTGTTCTCGCGGCTTCCCTCTCAGCATTCCGTTATGACATCCCCAACTCACATGTCCCATTGTTTCGTACTGTTTTGTACTACGGAGGGCCCCCGGCCTCCGTCCCTTTTCTAGCGAAGCGTTATCCGTCAGAGAGGAGGATTTCGGGTGAGTTCATGCACTGAATTGAGTCACCCTGCAACAACTCTCCCCTCCCCGAGGCCAAACCCCGATCAAGACCCTGATGCGCAGAGACGGCCGGAGGAGGCGGATGTATAGCTACGAGAGAGAGCAAGAGAGTAGGAGACGCGGGGGAGAAGGAGGGAATGCATGAGTAAAAGAGCTGATGCAGCAAAAGATACGGGAGCGAGAGAGCGCGTGAGTGGAGGTGATACGGGTGACGGGCGGAAAGAGTCGTAGTGCAGCTGTCCGGCATGTTCCCAGCGAGCATCAGGTTGACAAGGGAGGGTAGAGGGACGGTCCTGTCTTCCGCCGAGGCGTTACCCTCTCCCCTGCAGGCACGAAGATGCTCATGCCGCCATCCCATACGGCCGGCCGCCAGTAGAACATCTGGGCGGGACCGTGAGAGGAAGGGGCGGTCCATCCGGGCCGTCCTGGGGCTGCGGCTTTGTGGGGAGCGGAGCCGCTGGAGTGTCTCCGCCGTCGCTGGAGCGACCTTGGCCTTCAGCCGTCTTGCCGCACGCGACAGCTCTCCCTGTCTCACAAATCTCTCTCTGCCCGCAACTTGATCTCCTCTCCGGGGATACAGGCATATGAAGCCTCACCCATCGAATCCGGCGTGTCGGGCTGCTGCTGTCATTCATGTCGTGTGGTGCGCTTGTGTTTCCGTGATTGCTTGTGCCTTTGCCTGCGTGCGAATACTATACATTGCCGACTCTAGCTGGTCGCCCATGCTTCTGTGAAAGCGAATAAGATCATAGAATCCGGCATCGATCCGGTGGTGCCGGCGAGCCAGCGGTTGAGGTAGCCCTTGTCTTGCGCCTTCCACATGATCTAGTCGAACATGCGCCATCCCGTGCAAGCCTCCTCCCCTGATGGGGCATTTTCTAAAACGTCCCAAATGTGCCGAAAAAAATATTTAAAACCGGCAAACCGGCGAAGAATATTTAAAAAAACGCAAATAAATAAGAACTCGAGGAGAAATTTTCAAGAACTTTAGGCGATGACCCGGAGGGGGGGGGGGGGGGGGGGG